TGCGATCGCGGGCGGAGGACCCCGTGCGCCGGCGAGGGCGTTGGCGCGACGTGGGCTGACGGGGGGCGACGGGAGGCGAAAGGGAGGGTGCATTACATGGTGCGTCGAAGGAATCGCGAACCGTGGACGGGACTGCTGCAAGGCGGAGGTACTGCAGGTTCCGGCAGCGAGTGCGGGCTGCGAACGAAGGCCGAAGGGGGGCGATTTGCGGTCGCCGCTTCTCTGGCTAACTCCGGAGGGGAATTGCCCGTCATTCTGCGCATGATGAGGCGTTCCTTCAACATGGTTTCGGAGCTACGTTGGGCTCCATGGAGATCATTTGAATCATAAATCTGATGATTCTAAAGCTGAAGATGATAGCAATGAATGACGATGATAAAAGGTTGTTCTATATTTCGGAATTTCAAGGGGGATTCTTCTTTTTTTATGCATCAGAACCTTTGTGGTTGACATCTGGCGAGGGCGTTGGCGCGACGTGGGCTGACGGGGAGCGACGGGAGGCGAAAGGGAGGGTGCATTACGTGGTGCGTCAAAGGAATCGCGAACCGTGGACGGGACTGCTGCAAGGCGGAGGTACTGCAGGTTCCGGCAGCGAGTGCGGGCTGCGAACGAAGGCCGAAGGGGGGCGATTTGCGGTCGCCGCTTCTCTGGCTAACTCCGGAGGGGAATCGCCCGTCATTCTGCGCATGATGAGGCGTTCCTTCAACAACTGGTTAATTAAATTTCCAGACCGGGTCGCCGGGCGGCTGTGGGCTGATGACGATGCTGACAAGGCGGTCACGGGCAGGCGCATTACGGGCTGTTTTCTGGAGCTCAAGAAAAAAGTCGAGACAGGTCGGCGCCTGGCCAGTGCCTCTTGCTGTGGGTGCCTCGCTCGGCGGTCCGCGGCGTCCTTGCTCGCGCCCCAACCCCGCCCATCCCCGCCCGCCCGGCGCCTTTTCCCTCCTCCCGCCCGGGGGGCGCGACGGCGCGGGGCCGACCCGGATCGGCGCGGCCACCGCCCCTGCGCCGCGTGGTGCTGCGCGTCTGCTGCTGCCGCTGGCTGGCGGACGGGCGGCGGCGCCATGGCCAGCAAGCAGGACTGCAAGGTGTTCGTGGGCGGCCTCAGCTGGGAGACCACCGACCAGAAGCTGCGCCTGTACTTCGAGAACTGGGGCAACGTGACCGAGGCCTTTGTGAGCTACGACCGCAACACGGGCCGCCCGCGGGGCTTCGGCTTCGTGGTGTTCGAAGACCCGGGCGTGGCGGACAAGGTGGTGGTGCAGCAGCACACCATTGACAGGCGGGAGGTGAGCCAGGGCCGAAGATGCGCAACTCCCGCCCCCGCGCGCCGCGCCTTTGCGCCGCTTTGAAGGGGTGTTTGCGTCGGTACCGGGGGCGCGACTCGCGAGCTTGGGGTGAACCTGGGTCGGCGGGTGGCCAGGTGGAGGCCAAGAAGGCCGTGCCGAAGGAGGAGCACCAGGCGAAGAAGAGCACCGGCGAGGTTGGGTCCCAGCGGTCCAAGAAGATCTTCGTGGGCGGCCTGGCGCCCAGCGTGGACGAGAAGGCCTTCCGCGAGTACTTCGACCAGTACGGGCCCGTGAAGGACGCGGTGGTGATGTACGACCACGAGAACAAGCGCCCGCGCGGCTTTGGCTTCGTGACCTTCGTGGACGAGGACGCCGTGGCCAAGGTGTTCACGAACGGCGTGATGCAGACGCTGCACGACAAGAAGATCGAGATCAAGCACGCGGTGCCGCGGGACCAGATGGCGGCGCAGCGGGGAGCGGCGGGAGGCGCCTTCGGGGCGCGGGGGCTGGGCGGCGGGCGCGGCGGCGCGGGGGCGTACTACCACGGCCCGCAGTTCGGCCTGGCCAACCCGGCGGGCTACGGCCCGCGCGGGAGCTTCGCCAAGTTCAGCCCCGGCGGACGTGGCGGGCTGCTGGGGGGCGTTGCCGCGCCCGGGGGGGGCCTAGGGGGCGCCTACCGCGGCATGGGCGCCACCTCGCGCGGGGTGGGCGCCGGCATGGGGCTGAACATCGGTGGCGCGATGGGTCGGGGGATGGGCCAGCCCATGGCGGGGTCCAACATGGGCGGCCTGAACAACATGCAGACCAGCTTCGCGTCCTCCCTGCCCGCCTACGGCTCCAACCTGGGCTACGGGGGGATGAACAGTGCCGTTCTGAGCTTCCCCACCAACGGCAGTGCGATCGGCGGCGCGGGCGGCGCGGGCGGCTTTCCGTCCATGAACGGCTACGGCGGGGGCGGCCTGGCGGGCGCACCCGGCGCGGGCGGCATGGCCGGGCCCGGGGGACCTCAGGACGTCGCCGCCGGCGGGATCAACAAGGCCTTCGGCGGCCTGGCCGGCCCGCAGGGCGCTGATCCCGGCGGCTACGCCCAGTTCTCGCCCACGGTGGCCGGCATGCAGGGCGGCTCCAGCGCCGGCCTGGTGGTGAGCCACGAGACCGAGCTGGACGCACGGACGCTGTCCCTGGGCAGCAACGCCGCCTCCGCGAACTCCTACAAGATGCTGGACGACGGCCACCCCTTCTCCGAGGGCCCCGCGCCCGGCTGGTCCAATTGATGCCTCCCGGACGCCTGGGGCACCTGAATAAGCCGCGCCTCGTCGATTTCGTCCTCGTGCACGCTTGGGTGCAGCGGGCTTGCCGCGCAGCACGATGGGAGGGCGGGTTGGCGGGTGGCCGGGAGTCCTGGAGGAGGGGATGGCGACGGGTTGGTGCTGTCAAAGGGGAGCAGCGCCTTGGAGCAGACACAGGAGGAGGGTACAGGCAGCGAAGCGGAGGGAAGCGTGAGGGGCAGAACAGGATTGGCGGCCATTCAGTTTTGCAGGCGATTGCTGGCTCAGGGGGGTTGCGTTGCTCGGGACTGGTGCGGATCGCGCCGGGGTTCGAAGCTCATCAACCCACGTCTGCATTTCGGGACAGGAATTTTGTTGTCAAGTGGGGAGGCGATGGGATACATGCGAGTGAGAAAAGCCGGAGGTATTATTAGGGAAGTCAGCTTTTTGTTTGCTTTTTCGTTATAGCTGAAAGTAAGAGAAACGAAAAAAATAATGAAGGAAGTGTGAGGGCGCACTGGCGCAATATGTAGATCCGCCAAACTTACATTTAGGAGAGGACGGTCTGATGAACTGTGTAGAGGGCAACTGTGGAAGAGCAGCGCAGGGGGACATTGTTCGCCAGAGACAAGGGGAAGTCATCAAGGAGCGGTGGCTAGCTGCTTGGCCATGAAAGCTGCTGCTCGGGCTGTTGGATTGCTGCAGATAGGTGGGCAGCCTGCCTAGGTTAGTTTGGTTGAGGAAGAATTGATATGGTGAACATATATCTATTTTGCTTGTGCTCTCTCTCGCCGTGAAGGTGTTTAGTTTTGAATCAGTCAAAGTCACACGAGCCTTCCTTCCTGAATCTTATTCTTTGGGGTCGTCAGATGGGGTGTCTAGCTTGTGGGCTCGGAGAGACGGCCACCAACGGCGGCCTTGACGCTGTTGTTAGGGTTCAGACTGTTGCTTATTAGTAGTCTAAACAAACACCGTCACTTGTTTTTTCATTTGGTGTGTTACAAAGGACTGGTGAAAAACTGGAGCCATCTTGGCTGTGCAAGAACAAAACAAAGGAAGAGTGGGATTTTCGAGCTGCAGTTTCTAGAACTGCTGCCGGATTGCGGTCGAAGCCATACAAACAGTACATGTTTAGTAGTGCACGGGGAGTCCTTCCTCCCTCTCTCCACTATCTTGTGTGTCTTGCATTATCAAGGTTGAATTAGGCACCAGGGAGTCAAGTGCAGTTGTTGGAAATTATTTGCGGTTTTGGTGGGCTTAGGTGTTGTACACATAGATGTGGAGCAACAGCACGTTTCCAGCGCAAGCGAGATGCACCTTCTTGGAATGGGCTGGTGTTGAAGTGCCCGATGTCTGCCATCCGTGTTTCATGAGAGCAGCAAACAGTACAGTGGGGTTGCAGCGACAGGCAGCATAGGCAACGAACAGCGGCAGTGGTTGTTGAAGACAGGTGGCCCGCCTTAGCGTGGGCCGCGCCATATACAGAATGGGAATGGAGATTAGGCCACTCTATCCATAGTACAGACGTTGAGTGAAGACGGGTGCATTTTGGCCAGATGTATGTGGCGCACCTGAGGAGGTTGGGCTCCTCGAGTTTTAGTCGCAGATGTGTCAAAAGGATCAGTAGGGACGCTGCAAGAAATGTTGATCACATGTTTGTGTGTTTGTGTGCGTGTGGTTGTGTGTGGTCTTGATTTGGACAATGACTTGACTGAATGATCGGCCCCCTAGGTTGACCCAGCGTGCGTTTGCTGTTGTGCTCAACTCACCTTGGGACGCTGAGTGAGCGGCTGACTGGCAGGGACGCCTTTATGATACACAACGCGATTATGTAGCCCATTCGCACGAACCCTGAGGAGGCTCGGCGTCGCTGGACGTGTTTTGGAGTGCACTGGGAGCTGTGGTTCGTCGTGGTGGATACAGAGCAAAAACGAGGCAGGACACTTAGACGCAGGCACAATACAGCAGATCAGAATAGGTGCTCCTGTAAGTTATTATGTAATCCTTGTATTCATTTTAAGTTATTGAGAAGAGGCCGCTGCCCTGCATGCTTGCGGGACTAGAACCCAGGCAGTGCCTCTTCATGTGGGCCCAAGCAACAGGCTGTGTTGGGCCGTGGAGGGTCGTGAGTACTGATTGGAGCGTTCGACGTCTTCAGGTGGTGTGTTTCGTGTTTGCTGGGCTGCAAGTAGATGTCGACGGAGGCCCATGCGTTCAATAAAATGTATTGTGCATTGTGCACGCCCTGCCGGCTCACGGCCCCGTCATGGGCCCCGCCATCGTGCGGCAACCTGTTGTTCGGTGGTCACGGGATCCGCTCGATTTGCAATGAAGTTGACAACCAAGCTGTCCGCCGGTGGTTTGGCGTACGATCCTTCGCGGCTCCACCCACTGGCTTGACACAATTGCAGATGTCGCCCAGATGTGAAGGAGTTTCGGAGAGGACAAGAATTCTAGCACCACTAGCCAAGACGGAAGTTGATTGGGCGATCACACAATGCCCAGCATTCGAGCAGGGCACTAATGCGCTGTGGTAATCGTGTGCATGAAGTGAACCCCATGGCGATAACCCTACTGCTTGGGATGGACCGTGCCTGCCACCAGGGCAGATGCATGGAAAACAACATCAAAGCGTGCAAATTTCTATCTGGGAAAGCGATCATTGCAGATGATGTTTATTTCTTCCATACCTACTACATTAACGGCTCAGTGAAGACGATATAGTAAGAAAGGAACGAGGTAAAGTAATGGTCTCATTTTGCATATCCCAACGCCGCGGCGAAATGTTGCCAAATTTGCAGGACCTCAGGTAGCATGCACTAATCAGCCACCGCAGGTACATTGAGAGACTGTGTATCAAAAAACACAAAAAAACAGAGTGTAGTTCAGCACGGTTAGATGTGAATGTGACGGAAAAAGGATCATTGAGACCATACTTTGGGAGCAACATCCATGTGCGCCAAGGAGACCAGTTTTCAAGTCCTCTTGCGCGCCCAAGCCGACCGTCAGATAGCGACAATGATGCTCTCCGTTCGTTGGCAACTTGCTGTGTGGGTCTCTATCCTCCAGCGATGGCTGTGGCACTGCGCTACCAGCGTCACCACGTGGAGGTGCGCTGGAACTGAGGATGATCGGGATTGCTGGAAAGTCATCGCGGTGAGGAGGGTATCGCTCAGGGAAGGAGACCAGCTGGATTCTGTCCCGTTACGTTTGTGCGTGGGCCCGTGCGCACTCCGCATGAGAAATCCCAACCCCATGACGGGTTCTTGGGAGAGGGACGTCGGAGATGGTGAGCCAAAAGCGCGGAGCAGCAGGGTGATGTTGCGCCCGGAGGTGGAATGGATCGACCTCCCATCGGCTTTCATCGGTGGGAATGGCCATGGGCAGGCTTCAAGAGCCCGAATCCCGCATAGTTAATGTTGCAGTGACTTTCGAAGCCTGACATCGGCAGTAGCCTACAACAAAGAACCACTTGAGCAGGCTGGCACCCATGCCGAAGGTTGCAGTACGTTGCCGCTGCATAACGCGGCGTTTGCAGCTCAGCGTCGCAAGGAGCTTCGTAGGCACAGAGCATCATTTGCAGCTAGTTGCTGCCATAGTAATTAAGCAACAGTAAGCTCATTCATTCATTCATTCATTCATTCATTCATTCATTCATTCATTCATTCATTCATTCATTCATTCATTCATTCATTCATTCATGAAATTTGAGCGTATCAAGGCAAGGAGGCAACATTTTTTGGTCAGCAGTTTCATAATTCCTCCTTCCCAAATTAAATTGCATCATGATCTATGGCCCTAGAAAATCAATAAATAACTCAGGATTTGACTAAAATTTGTAGCAATGTTTCAATTTACGCCTAGTTTGTGCTACCGAATTTTCGAGACAATCGATTGACTGCTCAATCTATGGTGCTATTTTGAACAGACTCCACTTTCTGGAAGCACCCCAGTTTTCAAGGTAGCGTCGAAACCGCCTGTAAACGTAAACGTAAAAACCAAGCCTGCCCTGGACTATGCCACATTGCAGTGGCCCACTCCAGGCGAAACAAGAAGAGTTGGAGACACGCTTTAGACTGTAGATCAGAGCGCGGAGACATAGAGGCAGAGGGCAGACTGCCAGCACATTCCGAACAAGCATGATCAAGGATCTTGCCCGTAGATTCGAGACTAGCAGCCGAACAATTGAGACCGTCGGTAAACCGTTCTGTTATGTAATCAATTGTCCCACACATGGCAAGGGAACTGTGGACGTCCCAAGACACTGCGGGAGCAGTCTGCAACGAAAGTTAAAAAGATTGCGGCGCACAAAGCCCACACTATTCGGGGAATGTCGATTAAGGAAAACGACGGTGGAGGTCCGCAGTCATTCTTTTCGGGAGGAGCTGGCGGCCTACACTCCGATATTGCATCTCTCCAACCTGCAATCTGAAACACGTCTCTAAATCATGCCACTTCGCGAGACTGGGGGCAACAAAAGGGGGTATGGTCGATGGACCGAAAACGGGCTGTTTTGGAGCAATCTTGAAATGCTTGGCTGGGTGACGCAATTTCACGATGACGCTACGGATTGGATACTTATAAGTATCCAATACGTAGTGTCATCGTGAACACACGTTTATAATTCGATCAACTCAAAAATTTCGAAGCAGAAATTAAACTCAAATTAGAACATTGTGGTAAATTTCTGTGAAAATCTGCCATGGTTTGGTGTGTTTTTCAGGCCCACAATTCATAAATGCAATTTAATTGTTACGGAGGAAGTACAACGCGATTGAATGCTTTGAGGAAATGAACGCAGATGAATGACAGGTATGTGCCCCGATCAAACCGTCAGCAAATACATGAATTTCTTACACGTATCAAGGTGAGGGTAGCCATCATATCAAGGGCCCCACATTTCGCAACGCCAGTGATGCCGCTGCTGCAAGTCGCATTGATGCTGCCAGTCAAAGCAGCATTGCATGCTGTGATCATGACCAACAACATGTTGAGTCCAGGAAGCG